GAAATATGTTTTATGGATTTCTGACCAACTTTCAGTTCGTCAGATTACTTTCGTATTTCGGTAAATGAGTTTAAGTTGGTAATCGTTTATTTATTATATTTAAGTTCAAGTTAATGTGAATTTATAATAAATTTTGATTGCATTACCAACACTTTTTAATTTCATTTACCCAATGCTATCTCTAAATATGTTAACGTTGAGCAAAATTTTAGCGTTCTACAGCTCAAGATGCTCTTTTGCTAACACTTGATCATCTTTTGATTCTAGCTTCAAGAAGTAAAAACAGTCGTTTGGAATCAGACAACAAAGTTCAGGTAACCTTAATGATTACGAGGAGACTTTTTCAGATAAGAAATTATTATAGAAGTGATGAGAAAGACCAGAATTGCTTGCTTTTACAGTTCGTATTAACTGCAAATATTGGATCAGCTAATTTCAATTATGATATGCGTCGCCTTGCGGAACTAATTTCTTTTCCGAAACCGTGGTACCGGCACACTATTGTACGCAGATTGTTCATTGGAGACCATTCCGTCAAAACTCCAACTTATAATACTGAGACTTCTTTTGTAATGAGTCACGCATCATCCAGACCACTTTCTAATAAGTTAGCTTCTTCTGTTGTTGGGATTGAATTATTCAGTGATTTAAATTTAATTGAATTTGTTCTAACCATATTAAAGGTTAGATCACCTCAAATTTTCATGAATTAAGTTCTGAAGTGATAGTGTTTTTGAAGCGTTTTCATCTTTATCTTTTTCGTCTCGTTTTTTTGTATTCACGAAAACTTTTATTATGTCATTACTTAGTGATTGTAGGGTTTCGTCAGAACAAGACACCTTTAAAAAAAAGGAATGGAGTGCTGCTGTAATATGTGGTGTGGAATGGAAGGAACTCAATATCAGTGCGCAAATGGCTAATACAATGGGAAATACGAAGTTGATTTTACGTGAAGGTGTTTTACGTGGCTACTGTCAAGTAATGTATTAATTTCAGTCATTTCCTAATTGTCAAGATTAAAGACATATTAGTTTGCTATCAAATGAATTACCTGGCAATTATTTATTGGACAAGTATTGCATTGGTTGTTTGACCAATGATTAAGCAACGTTTGTATATCTGATCACCAAATAATTTTTTAATTTTTCTTTATTTTCAAAAATTTTCTTTTTCAGCTTAATTCAAAACAAAGTAGAGCAATTTCAATCAACTTTGGTTTAGAATCAGCTGTATTATCAGCTTACGGTGGTGCAATATCAGGCGAAATTGCTATCACATCTTTACACATTGCATGCAAAAATCAAACAGCTGCTTTGGCAAGTTTCCATGGAAGTTCTCTTTGGTTTGCCGTATTCATCACGCGTGCATTTTAGTAGTTGTCTCTTTTTCTTTTATCTATATTAAAAAAAGTATTCATATCTGCTATAATGTTCTATAAATGTGCCACTTTATTACTGAGTTTCTTTTTCTCATAGAAACCTCCTCGAAATTGTGCGAAGTTGGAGTTGAAGGAAGTTCAAAGCCGAATTGAGTGGATGAGTCGACCAATATTCATTGCAAAGTGCGAAAAACCATCAGTCACGTTTTTAGATGAGTGGATATCCCTTTTTGATGATGCAGGCGAGGTACGTTGGTTTTCTTTTTTTTTTTTTTTTCATAGTTACTTTAAGTTAAATTCATGCTTTAGCAAAATTCCGTTTGGACCTTGAATCTTGGTTAAATGGCAAAATATCATTCAAAAAAGAATATCACGTGGAAAATATTTAAGGTTGTGAAAGCATCCGTAGCTGTCAACATTACTTGCTCCTGGTCAGATTTACAACTGATTATAACAAAAGTGACCGTGGATGATCTCATAAAAATCGCTCAAAAATTGCAGTCATTCTTCCAGGTTTAAAAAATTTCTTTCTATTTCGTATTTGAAATATCCTTTTCTTTATTATATATTTTTCGATAAAAATTAAGGATGGTATGATAATTTAATTACTTGATGAATAAATTATGTATAAGTTATAAGTGAAATAAATCTAATGTTTTGATGGGATTAGCTTTGAAAACAATTGCCTACGTCATTCAATAAAGACATATATCAGTGTAGGAGCAGCTAACAAATAGTCGAATGGTATGGGGTATCAGAAGTGCTGTGGCGGTGGATGAAGCTTCGCCGAAAGTCGATGACAAAAATTTTGTAAATTTCACCAAATATCATCATTGGCAACCAGTGCTCGATTTGTTAACACATATTCAATCACGTCAAAAACTTTTACCAATGCCGAAGAGTTCTGATGGGATGACCATTGTGGGTGGTGTGCTGGAACTGTCTGGACAAAATTTATCTTTAGCTTGCATGCATGGGGAAATGAATGCAACTAGGTAAATTTTACTGTCGGGATATTCAACAGTTCATAAATTTTTAAAATTAAAAGAGCTTAATTATTTGATTGGGTGTTCTATCCATTTTTGTGGTTTTATTTTTGTCCATTGTGGTACAGTTCAATCAACTTTGTAGCTGGGCGCTGTTCCATATGCGACAACCAACAATCATATTTGAACCAGAAGCACGATACATCTTTGTTAGCGATAATCGGGATGTTGGTGTGTCAGTTGCTCAACGACTTAACATCAGGCTAGGTGATATGGCATATCAGCATGGCGATACCGAATGTATGGCTGTTGTATGTCGTGTTCAGGTTAATTTGATTGCTTTTTCCAGAAAATAATATGATCCTAAAACTTATTTTGCTGCACTCTAACAATAAAACAGTTATTAACGAAGTTTGTAAATTCATTACAGCAGAGCAGGGGAAGTATGGTGCGACAAATGAGCTCAGTGCTGGCATGTCTTCATCATGTTATTGGTGATGTACTTGTACGACTTAAATACATCCCTTCTAATTTGAATCAGCCAGCTGCGCATCATTCTGTGCTTCAATTATTTCAGTAAGCTGGAACATTTAATATCATTTGTATTCTGTATCTACTTATTTATACACATTGCATTTCGTTTGACTGTGAATGAATACTCTATATTTTTCTTTCCTGAAAGTGATGGAAATGATTCATTTGTCAAAACTTGCAGATTTCCTGCACTGGATGCTGTTCTATCCACGTTACAGAAACAAGGGATAGAAGCTGATGAAGAGTTTCTTGTACCTGAGGTTTCTCATTATATACATATATTTAATTATAAAAACTAATCTTTGGCATATATTTGTGAATTTTTCACAGGTACACAGTTCTTTCATTTGTGAATTCCATGATTCAGTGAACGTTCAGACGGACTTTAGCGCACAAGTCAGTTTTTTGCCCGAATTGATCAATACATATATGAAAATAAAGGTAATTCTATGATAAAAGTAATCCTTTCATAGTTCAGATGATTATGTGCGTTGTTTTGACTTATTCTATCAGTTTATTTAGTTGTATAAGTTTGGATATTCTTGACTTTGTTATGTTTATCTATATGATGACGCTTGCTGCGTTTTAAGACAGAGGAGGAAAAAGCAGTCGATGTAAATCGTGATTTTCGTCGATTCATCTGCGAACGGTGGGTGGTGGATCCAAAAATTTGTTTCATTGATCGCTTTAAATGGAATCCTCCTGTTATTGATGAAATCTTACGTAAACTGCAGGTAATTTGTGTTATGTATGTTTAACAAATACAGTGAGATTTTCTCTTTGAATTAACAAATGCTAAACTTAACGCATACTAAAAAATTTAGTCATTAAAACAACGAAACGTGCACTATCTTGTGCCGGATTTATAAGATTAGCCCCAAGGCAAATGTCCTCTTTTCCATTAATAATTGGATTTTTCAAAAAATAAGTATTAAACTGTAGTTAAGTGATTGTTATAGTGATAAATGATACGTAGAGAGAGTTAAAGGGACGATCAAGGATAAAAATCGTCTATGTTACAATGTGTTAGTGGAGTCCGACCGCTGAGAAAACTTAGAGCTTCCCTCAAAGAAACACAGCAAAGCTTACTTTGACTGAAAGAACTTGAATATAGAAATAAAATCATCTCGCATGCAATGAATTCCCAAATTTATTTAATAAAAATTTATTCATTTAAAATTTGACGCCTTTCAGATATTTGACCATCGAACAACAATACCGAAAGCATTACAGCGTGGACTTCTCGATCCATGTGATGCTTTTTTAGCGCAAATTGAATTATTTGTTCTACTGATTGCTAGCAAGTCATCTAAAAGAACATCTTTTTAACGACTTGTCCTTTAAAAGCGATGTTGTAAATTGTTTACTTATCTCTTTTTCTGTATATTTGCATGACTTCGATCCTAATTTCATGTTTTTTCTTGTGTCATTTTCTTGCATCAGTTTGTTTAATTCTTAAAATTAATCATTTTGAGATGCATTTTATGGAATCTGTATCTGTATTTTCTCTTGGGTTGCTGACTTAATTGTTGTATTAATTAATTTGAGTGTTTAATTTTGAAATTTTATTTTTGATATAATTTTAAAGGTTTTTGTTCAAGCCTGTACATCTGCCAAGAAATGTATTGAACAGTATTGACTGATTAACCTCGATGATATATTCTTCTCTAGGTTAATTAGTGATCTCACATTCAATAAATATAGTCATGTCACATCTTATATTTCATAACGATCAATCTGTTAAAATTTTAAAAGTCACGAAGTGCCACAATACGTATTTGTAAGTTTTTATTGGATTCGCAGTTTTGAATATATTTCTATGTTTGGTTTGTTTGAAATCGAATACGAATAATTCTAAATATTTGAGTAAGAAAATAAAATTCATTTCTACAAGTTTGCCCTTTGTATTTTCTGTTTATCCAAAAATGTTTTTATTGTTGTAATCTGTTTTTCAAAGGGTTACATTTTTATATATTTTCGAAGTAAACAACTGTAAAATAGTCAGTTGCTGGCATTTAGGCAGGCATAATTTATACTAAGTTAATTTTTTTTTTAAAAAGAAGTTGCAACCCACATTGCTTCCAAAAGATTTGATTACTATTTCAGAATGAAATAGTGGTACTGCTATTGTTATCGGACTGTAGCAGATCATCGGGAATGATTTCTTCCGTAATATCTTCCTCTGTAATACATATTTCAACATAATCAGTAGATTCTCCAGAATTTTAAAAATTGGCACAAAGAATGCAAATGCTATGCTAAAAACAATAAGAACTAGATTTTGTGATAAAATTACAAGACTAAGACTATTGGAGAACTTCAAAAATAGCATTAATTCTTAGGTGAATTTAAGTTAGGAATTTACCTGTTTCGCTTTTATTAGATGATGGTGAATTTAATATGGTATCTAGCAGATGTGAAAATGGTACTTCTCCGGTATGATTCGATGAATTATTCACCGATGGTATAGAAGGTAATCTTGTTGATTGCGCTAATTCATTTGTTGTTGATTTAATTGGTGGAAGTTTTCTGGGATAGGATGATGAAGATGTTATATGTTTGGTAGGTTGTTGCTGATCTTTCGATATCACAATTGAGGATGTCCTTGGAATTTGTTGTTGTTGTTGTTCAGAAATTATTGCTAATTCTGAGCTTAAACTCCTTCCTTTCTTGTATTTTTCCCCTTTATCACTATTATTATCATAATTTGATTTTTCAGTTGATGCACCATCATTCCATCTTTCCTTTTCATTGCTTCCTTCGTTTCTGATGCTGCTTGTTTTAACAGAAAAAAAAATAGTTTTCTTTTAAATGCTTCAAATTAAAGAAAAAGGAAACGATAAAGCAGCTTTGAAAATATATATATATATAAAAAATCTCTAAACAACTCATAGCCATTACTAAGGAAAGATCAAATTAATGAGGAATTCGAGCAATTAGGATGAAACGAATAGTTGCCAGAATCTTAAAAGGGTTATTTATAATTTTTCAAATCTTTTAGAAAATTTTTTAAATTTCCAAAATCGCTTTAGAATTTATGTGATATTCGGTATAATTCATTCTTCAAACTGAATTATTTACTGTTTATTACTGATTGGCTTATTTAACTTATTGAGGAAAGTCTCATCATATCACGTATTTGCGTCACTGACGATAAAATGCGCTGTCAACGTTATGGAACAAATAGTTGGTGAATGTAAGTAAAAGATGGCTGCAAAAAAAACGACTGAAGTGAAAGTATGCACTTTGTAAATTAATAACGGCAAAAGTACCTTTTATCTGAGGATCCCTTTGTATCAGTTGATATTTCATTGTTCGATAGAAAACTTTTCATAGTTTTATTCGATTCAGAATTAGCTGTTTGTTGCCTTTCGATAACTCTTATATTATCCTTTTTGTTGTTATTTTGTTTAAAAGATAAGATAAAATTCGAATCATTGTTACTCGTTTCATTATTTTCAGTTCCAGCAGAATGTGTTTCTTTTATGTTTTGTTTAGTTATTCCGGTTAAATTGAAATTAGATAAACTAATACTATCTTCAAAAAATTGGAAACAAAATGTTGCAGCATTTTCTTTCTTCAATTCTTCCAAAGAAATAATTTTCTGAAATTTAAGTGGAAATATTCAAAGGCTATGTTAAGTCTAACAAAAGGTATATTTGAAAAAAAAAAATTAGCCATCAAAATGTTTTTATGACATTATGATCAATAATTTTGTTACCTGATGTATTTCTTTCTCGAAAACTGCTGCTGTTGCTAGGAATCGATTTTGTCTGAGGAAATGATAAATGATAGAATAGCCAAGCTTCTGGTCCAGCTTACTTTCATCCGCTTCAGGCTCATTATCCTCAGTACTTTCAATTGCAAGAAATACAGCGCATCGTAATTCCGCCTATATTTTAATATTATGAATCTTTTTTTTTCCTGGCCTATTTTTAGGATTTCGAATTATTAGTTACACAAATGGACATTTTCATTGAAGTTTTCTTTGAATTCAAATTTTTAGGCATACTGAAGTGTATTACAAGAAAGTAGTTCAAACATTTTGATATATTTTACATTTCATTTAACTGTCTTCTTTCAACTTTAAAGGATTTTACTGCTACAAAAAGCAGTTCTTTACAGATAATACTTTTACCTTATAAGTGATACAGCATATCTATATTTTATATACTTCAACTAAGTTTAAACTTTAAATTTATTTAGTTTGGCTAACCTTAAATTTCTAATTAAGAGAATAATTCGGTAACTCAAAATTAATTAAATAATAATTTGTCATATTAAAAAAAAAAAAGGAAGTATACCTGTATTCTATCAAGCGTACCATTACGCTGTAATTTGTCAGTAATAGTTTGTTTCAGATGGAGAACATCGGAATCCATTCATTCATTCAAATAGCAAACGACATATTCAATGATATTTCCATGACGACAGGTATTCAAGCATATAGCAATATGATATGAATATTATATATCAATAATAATATGCTTGTGCATGATCTCGAACTTTTCTCTAATGTTTCTCTCGTGTTGAAAATTACCAAAAGAAGGCTTACTTAATGCTTTTTGACTATTTTTTTTCGAAATTAGTTTATAGATTAAATAAATCATTTCAGAACAATAAATTCTTTTTTTTTTTTTCTACATTATTCATTAGAGAAGTAATAGTTTAAGGATTACATATATGTAAAAGTCAAATCATTCAAAAACTATGAAATTATCATAGTCATATTGATTAGGTTAATTTCAAGAACGATTAATGCATTTAAATTTTGCAATCAGCAAAAATAATTTGAGAAAAATGGTTTATTGATAAACAAAATGTGAAAATTAACAAACTTTTAGCATTCATTGTCAATTTATTTCGAACATATCAAATATGGCATATAAGCGGGTTATCACTAAGATTTGTATTACATTCAATGCTCGAATGATATGAGTAGTCCGACTGATACAAAAACAAAATGTTTGTGATAACTCACAAATGAAATGCCTAATTCATAATAACAGATTAAATTAATTAAAATATTCATCAACAATTAGTCTGATAGAAGAAGTTAGTAGAAAATATTATAAGAAAGAAATAGAAATGGTCTGAATTATAGAATGTGTGATAGCCAGTTAAACCAGTGTGTGACAGTTAAATACAATTTAAATATAGCAATCATTCAAAATTGTTCAACTTGACATGTGACGGATATGACATGGCAGTTAATGCTACTAAAGTTTGTTTTTATAATATATTAATTTTTAAAAAAAATAAAATGAAATAAAATATTCGTTAAAATCACATCGTTTACTTCGTTAATTATCACTTTATTCTATTTCTATTTCAACTAATTAAGCAAACAGTATTTAAAACGAAGAAAATTTGTTTCAATTATAAATCAAATAAAATTAAGGCAAAAAAAAGAAAAGTTTAGATAATTAATTGACTATCATCTAATATGTTACTTTAAAATGAAATAGCATCAACTTTCCACGTGAAAGGTCAAGATCAAGCTATAGAGGGATCAGTGTTTAAACTCACATTTAACTTATTCTAATAAGTCTTAATATTCAATAATTATCTTAATAAAAGGAGCCTAAATGCAATCAAAGAAAAATTAACGCATTGAAATGATCGAGACAAAAAATTAATAAAAACAAATAGCTAAATTTACTAATAATTAGGATTTTTAAGTGTGTCTGTGAAGTTCTAATAATTATGTGAATTAATTTAGATAGCAGTACGATGATTGAGCCGAATAATTCAAGAGTAGCCAATAGTCCTGTACAGCATTAATTAATTTGATATGATAACAGTGATATTGTTTATCCATTTGTTTTTGGCATCATTGATTACATTCGATTGTTTCCGGTATAAACTGATCAGTCTTTCAAACCATACCATTCTCAATCCTGTTTTTATAAACTGTTTTCTAGCAGTAAGTGATCAACCACTACTACAAAAAATGTTTTTAATGATTAGAAAATTAATAGCGGACATATTAGTGATATGTTATTCTTAATGACTTATGAACAAGTACGTACCATCATAGTTTAGTTAAAAATGTCCTAAAATACCTGGCCGTAGTCCTTTTCTTGACTCTTTTCATCTCCTTTTATCTCATATTATAATTTCTGTAATAATTACGTATCTGCATAATCACTTGGTTAATAAAATGGCACAAATAAACGATAATATTAAAGTTTTTTCTTTTTTCTAGTCAATAATTTCATTTTATATTGAATTAAATGAAATGTAGTCATTAAGGAAAATTAAATGAAATGTATTCATTAAGGATAAAATAGTCATTAAGGCATTAAGGATAAGCTATCATTGGTAGTAATTAATTATTCTAAAATGAACAGTACAATCAATAGTTCTGTGTTTAAATAATTGATGCAATTGCGTTTTCATTATTTATTTTCTCTTTCAATTCAGATGCTTTTATCTTCTGCAACATTAATTTTTGCCCATAACGTGCAATTGTCATATAAAATATCAATGAGCCACTGATAAGAACCATTGTAAACATAAGCAGTCGCCAGTTAGGCTTAATTATTATCAAACTACCAATCTAAAATTTAGTAGAAAAATGTTAAAAATTGCATCGATTACAAGTAATATTTTTATGAAGAAAAGAGATGAATAATCGGTAGCAAATGAAATTATTATTATTTACTTACCAAAGCGATTGTTTCTAGTATGTAAATAAATGAAGCAAGTGTTAGTCGATGGAGATATGATGCAAGAAAACTACCAACTGGTGCAAAAATTACAACTACAGGTAAGCATACCGAGAAATATTCCCAGGATTCCTGAAATATGTTCCCATAATTCTTGATGAATTCATTTAAATATGTGACAATAATTAGCTTCTCTTTTTGTTTTATATTAGAATGAAATGCAGAAGATTTAATTATTTCATCGTAATAAATGCCAAATAAAAAAGAAAAAAAAACAAATTAAAAATAAATAAATGTTTTATGTATATTGTTAATTAATATGATTATTTCATCAATTTTATTCAGAAATTATCACCTGTTGAATTTCATTTTGCATAAATTGCCTCCAGAAAAAACCAACCATACTATTTGCTGCCATTAGTACCACAGATGTTGGTGTTGCGACTTTTTCACTTATTCGAAAAAGTAAAGTAAGTATTGAAAACGAATAAACATCAATGCCGGAACCGGCAATACCGGTAAAAATACCTTAATAATGTTATTAATTGATATGATCATTTTAGTTTCAATTACATTTGAAATAACTTTCATTTTCCTCTCAAAATTCTCTTACAGAATTCTCATTTGCACATTTTAACAGGACAACTACGTAATATGAAAAATGTGACAAGATGGCATCAGAAATTTTTATCAAATTGTGAAAGCTTAAAGTGCATCAAATAAGCTGAGATAAGGTAAAGGCTACTAGTATGCAAAGCAAATATGAAATAATCTACAAATATATATTTTTTTAAAAAATTTTATACCTCCAATAAATCCATTAATAATTAAAATAAGCGCTTTCGATAGAGTAAATTGATCAATTTTATTAAATGTTTTGCGCTTTTTTTCAGAATTTAAAATAAATAATGCAATCGCAAATGAGAAAAACACCGAAACAAATGTCATTTTCTTTTCTGCTGGTGACAATAAGGGATCAACTATCTGAAAATTTTAGATCAAAGCGAAAATTCTTATCTACTAAACTCTAAATTTTGCGTTTATATTTCATTGATTCAACAATACAAATAATTAGGTAATTTGCAAAAGGTATTCTCAAATTTTATCAGTATCAAATAAGACGAATTAATTGTCAATAAATTGTTGGCTAGAATTAAATATTTTAATGAGGGTCGCATATTCTGTTAGTATATTGAAAAAAAAAAAACAGATAGATTATAAGGTACGTGAACCGCTTTACATCTTGTTACGCTTTTTTTTAAATCTTTTTTCTATTATGGCAAATACTTTAAAGGAATGGAAGAAAAGTTAACCTCAAGTCCGATGATAACTCCGAAAATAGCACCAATTGTTGAAAATATTATCGAATGCCATTCAATTAAAATTCCAGTGAAAAAAATAGTAAACGATGCAGCAGTTAAGCCTTAAGATGTGATAATAATGATAAGAAAGAGTAAAAGTTTTACTCTTTCGACCATTGGTCATTTCCAATTATTACTATAATCATTTAGTTACTTCATTTTAGGCTTTTCATTACTAAATGGATGAAATTTTTGAAAAAAAAAATTATAATATTACAAATTTAAAAATTAGCAACAAAATTTCATATTTATCAGCTTAATAATTTTTTATATTATAATGAATAAAAATATTTTGCAATAAGACTAAAACAGATTAACTTAACTGAATGATTTATAGTCATATTGTTCATACTATTCAACTTAAACTTTCTAATTTTAACTTAATAACTTAATAATTAACTTAAAATCCACTTATAATTATTTATACGAAACGAAATATAGATTATTTGAAATGAAATACCGCAAGACTGTATCATAAATGAAAAATCACGAGCCACAACAGGACTTATATCAAGAGCTAATGTCATTATTGGAAATGCTATAGCTCCACCACCTTCTGTTGTCATTCCTACAAATCATTATCATTATCATTCTTATTATCATTTCATTAAAATTACTTATCAATAATTTTCCAACATTTTATTCTTGATTTTAGCATTTTAATCCAATTTAAATTCTATTTCTCTCAGAATTACTTTTTAGATCATTTTTAATCAAAATATTGGTTGCACCTCATAGCTGAAAGACCTAAATTATTATTTTTTTCAAAAATGTAAAATCAAAATTTTCAAAAAAATTTTTTATAAATTTTAATAAAAATTTTTTATTAAAGTTCCTTTCTTATAATTAAATCATCTAGCAATAATAGCAATAATAATTCATTAAATAAGAGTAACATAGGAGAAAAAATTAGAAAGAATTAAACAATCAATAATTTGACAACAAATTATAATTTTACTAAACTTTTCTAACACTTTCTAATAGAGGAAAATATTGCGCTATAAAAAAATCAATGAATCAGTTATTAGTTATAAACATACCTCCAATTAACGCTCCAAAAATCATTACTATTGTCATCACATATTTATCTTTAAAATAATAATATAAATTATAACGAAAAACCAATAACCAATATATTGTTTGGAAAAAAATAAATGGTATGAGAAAACCTTAAGAAAAAGATAACCAATTATATGAATATTTTAATTAAATGAAGTTTAACTTAGCATACTTGTTTATCATTTTTCATAAAGTTTAATTCGTTTTTTTGCAACTAAAATGTTACTTATTAAAAATTCCAAGAAAAAAAAAACTTTAATAATTAATTGAAATGTTTATAAGGTAGTAATA